AAAAAAATCATATATTTGAGTCTTGTATAGTATTGTTATTTTTAGCTGTTATTAAAATTATTCACATTTATTAACCAATATCTCTTTGTCATTTTCCAGGTGTATTTTTCCTGTATTCCAGTTTGGCTCTAACTGGTTTCTTTTTCATTTATGGCTGCCTGCCTGAGACTAAGGGACGGCGGCTAGAAGAGATTGAGTCCTTGTTTGAAAACCGGCTCTCTGCAGTTCCCTGTGATAGTGTAGTGTGGCCTTATAAAATATTTCATCATTTTGACTTATGTTTTGACAGTTGTTGTCATTATTGTGTTGTTAAGACTCATTTCTTTGAAAATTTGTATCATTTACTTTTAAATGTAATTTAAATGTTTATATTTTAAATTGTATTTTTTATTATAATTTTAATTTGTCTTCCTTATTGCCTAGTGTACAAACGTCATTGCATTGGTCTTGTCCATGGAACAGTGTAGGATAACCGTTTTGACAAGTACATTGTAATATCCAATATTCCGTTGTGCTACTTTGTAATAAGACAAATACACATCAAGGTGTGCCCAACCGACCTGCAAATCTCTATGTTGTGGTTGTAGCTTTATCGAAACCAAGTTGATGGCTCTTGTGAAAGCAACCAATAATGTCGACTCAAGTTCCTGTTTAAAGGTTTCACTCTGTTTAGTGATAAATAATTGTGCGCATCAGACGCAGAAGGCATCAGGTGCATAATTGTGCGCAGAAGGCATCAGGCCTTCTGTATTGCGTGTTTTATTTATAGACATGATTATGTGTAATTTGACATCTTCCATTGGACAAAACTTAATTTGGTTGAGAAAATTAAAAATTCAATTGGCACAATGTTTGGCATTATATCAATTTAGATTTTAAAGGAATAGTTCACCCACAAATGGACCTTTGTCATCGTTGACTCACCATTGAATCGTTCCAAACCTGTATTACTTTTTTTACTCTGTGGAACATAAAAGGAGAGGTTTTGAAGAATGTTCAAGCTGCTCTTTTACGTATAAATGATAGCATACAGTAACCAGGGGAAGCCAATCACCATAAAGGACAACACAAACATTTTTGACATTTTTGGATTAACTATTCCTTTAAGACACCAATTGAATCTCTAACAACAACAACAAAAAAAAACATATTGCTTCAACTAGAGTCTGAATAGAGACAATGCGTTTGAGTCTACATGTATGATGTAATTTAGAGGTTTATTGAGCAGTTGCATGTGTACCAGATGTATTTGAATTTTAGATTGTACTTGGGAGGTGCTCCAACATGGACAGCCATTTGTGTTGTTACCAATGAACACATCTGTTTTAAGTGTATGGATGTATTTTATTTTATTTTTTTGTATGTGGAACAAAATGCAGCGTTTATACGGTTGATGGAAACTAGTGAGGACAAATGTTGTGTTGTACATTATTTGATTACTGTTGCTGTATATGTTTTGCTAGATTTATATTCTATGAAACTAAATATATGAACTTTGAAAACTTGAATATGTACTTGGAGGTAATAATAAAGATATATAACATACAGTATTGTTTTTAAGATTCAGGTTTTCAATCCCACATTTCCGTCTCCGTGGAGACCCAGTTAGCACCTTTCTCTGCTGTGAAGTTCTTCATCTCTTCATTTCTTTATCTCCTGCACGCCTGACGTCCTTGACAGGGTTTCGCGTCACACTTCCCAACTGAGGGTAGTCACACTTTTCTATTTTCACCCTGCTTTCCCACCACTGCTCTTTTTTCTGTTCTGGAGTAAACAAAGGACATAAACATACAATTTCAGATTTTAAACCAGTATATTCAAACTTCAGAATCATGATATGAAGTGGGAATAGTTCACCTATAAATGGGGCAAACATTCTGGGAAAACTTAGATTTTGTTTTATGTTTTTGAAAGAAGTAAATAATGCTCACAAGGCTGCATTTAGTATATAAAAAAAATGTAAAACAGTAATACTGTGAATAATGTGTTTTTTGAACATTAAAGCATGTCAACATATTCTGTTACACCAAATACATAAAATAATGATCTTTAAAAAAACATCATATGACCCCTTTAAAATTTTAAATAACTGTTTTCTATTTTAATATATTTTACAATACATTTTATTCCTGAAATAGCAAAGCCATTACTCCAGTTGTCAGTGTCGTGTGACACTTCAGAGATCATTCTAATATGATGATTTAGTGCTCAAGAAGCATATTATTATTATTATTATTTTATTATTAATGTTAAGTAGCGCTGCTTAATACTTTTTGGAAACAGCAATACATTTGTTTTCAGGATTCTTTGGTGAATAGAAAGTTCACAAGAACAGCATTTATTGTAACATTATTAGTGTCTTTACTGTCAATTTTGATCAATTTATTATGTACTTAATGAATACAAGTATTAATTTCTTTCAAAAATATTAAAATGTTACTGGACCCAAACTACTTGCTGAAATCTTCCCGCCGCATCAAGATGCACTGCATCAGGGTCAGTGATATCAAATAACAAATTTGAACAATGTGCCGTGTTGAAATATACGTAAGTGTGAATTCTACTTAAATCCATTGTATAGCTTCAGGAGACTTATGGTGCATGAGTTGTTTGCACTAATTTTATCAAGCTTAGTTGTCCTATTTGTATTGAAAAGAACAACAAATGCAAGTTTGAGAAGACTTGAAGGTATGAAAATAATGACAGAATGTTCATTTTTGGGTGATTCACTTTAAGATGATTCGTTTTGATCAGAAACATTTGGAAAATGTGTCCTGTGAGGTTTCACAATGGGTTAGTTATTTATACCTGGGGCTTTGCAGAAAGGATGTTTCAAATTTGATGTCAGATCTCTTTTCATGCTCTTCCGACTATGAAGTCTGCGGAAGATATGCCTATTTGTGATTTTGTATGTCTCTGTACCTGCTGGTTAGTCGCTGATGCCCCTGAGGGCATATTTCCTGTTCTATTATGCACATTTTTTGGAGAAGTATGTCGTTGGCTTGAGGAACTGATTAAAATTAAAACACTGCCACCTTGTGGTAAAGACGCTGGTTTTCTGATCAGCAGTGAGGAAAGGGACTTTGCGATGAATAAGTGAGCACTGAACTGAGACATCTCGGTAAAATAAAGCTCCTGTTTGTGTCCCTGTTTCCAAGGTTATTGGGAGATTCCCATCACGCCTTTCTGTCTGCAGATGAGAAAAAACAAACTGATTTTCCTTGTGTTTTCGTCCACATATCACTTGTTTCTGACTGTCTGAAAGTCTGGATTTTACCTCACTTTGACAATCACAGTTTGATTTTGCCTCTTGTTTGCAGGATCGAGCTTGTGAATGTGTTAGTGTTAAACTGTCCACCGATAAGCAACAGTGCTTTGTCTTGACACTATCTTCAGTATGGCACAGCTGTTTCTTTGAGCAGGCACACTGTAGGCACTGGTCAATTTTTTGTTTATATATATATATATAATTTCAGGGGATCATAAAGCTATAACAGGTTTTATTTTTTATAAACAAAGGATAATTGTGAACACTGTGAATGTAATATTCTTTCAGTGAATGAAGTGAATTATGTATCCATTGAAATACTTTTAAGAACAAATCCAAGCATTCTCATTATGTTAAATGTGGTCATTTTTCACGCACTATATACTAGGAGAGATTACAGAAAGCAATTTAATTATTATGGCGATTAGGATTATTCAGATTACAGGACAGTTTTTGTTTTACGTCATCTGAGCTGAGATGAACTCCTCTTGGAAATTTGCCAACATGCACAAAGACACTGCTACCATCAGCACCTGCTGAAACATCATACAACTTGTTGTTCTGAGTGAGCACCATTAAAATGATACTTTATAAATAACAATAACCAGAACACTTACATGTGTTGCTGTCAGTACATACAAATTCCTGAAGAAAAAAAAATGAGAAGATCAAAACACAAGCCAAGTTGGCATCTAAAAAACAAGTTTATTAGAAATGTACTGAAGCTTATGTCTATGTTGCTTTTAACCACAAGGGGGTAGTATTTATGTACAATTAATAGCAAGTTTGTCAGCAATTTCATCAATTGTGTGTGTGTGTGTGTGTGTGTGTGTGCTTATTTTTCCCATACCTGTGTTGAGCGGTGGCCATCACTGTCCATGTTTTGTGACCTGTCAGAAGAATTCATTGATGCGAGCACTGTAAGAAATTAAAATTATAAAGAACATCTGTAATATGCAATGAATTTAAGTATTGACTGTACTCTGGACTGAGTGCTCATGGAGGCTTGGAAAGATTATTAATTGAGTAGGTCAATCAATCATTGCACGTAATATTGTTTTTGGATTTTCTCAAAAGCTCATGAAAAATAATTGATTCTAAAAACGAATTATTCACCATCAATATTAACTTTAAAAGAGTTGTATAGATGTTAGAAAGTGTTCGAAAGAGCTATTTTTGCTCATAAAGTAAATGCAGCATTTCATAAAAGAAACTGGCAAATTCAAATATTGCTCATTTAGTGTTTATTTTCTCCCCCTAAGTATATTGTATTATTAATTTGTTTTCATAAAATCCTCATTTACACACATAGTGTTTTATTTTAATTTTTTAAAACTTCAATACACTTTTTCCTATGGGTTTTTCATTTCTATTTTTATACATTATCCAATTTAAAATATTATCTCATTGTTTGGCACAGTCACTTTAGTATCTAGTCATTTTAGTATCTCCCCATAACTACATATGCTAGATGCTATACTATTACCTTTATTATCCAAGTCCTTGAAATTTATGAACAGTGCCTCCTCAGGTTGTTCACAGCTCTTTAAAGGGTTGAATGGATATAAAATGGAGGTCTCTGAATGCTCTCCCTTCTCTGGGCTACAACAGATTGTGATAATTTAATGTTAAATGCACTTTCCCATGTCTATTCTCTTTTATTGGCATATTGCACCTGAATATAGTAATATCATTGTACTCACTTTGGTACTGTGCTCTTAAACTGATTTCCAGCCACTGGGCTGTTGTGTGACACATCTTGCATGGGAGCTTCATCTGGCCATGGATTAGCCAGCTTTGTTGGTTGAGAGAAAGGATACAGTATGTATGGTGTGGGTTTGGGTTGGATTGGATCTGAGGAGCCAGCAGATGTAGAGGATGGTTGCGGTTGATTTTCTGAGCCACTGACATCAGACAGGTTTGATTCAAGCACAGGAGACAACAAAGGAAGAAGAGGCCACTATTAAATCCTGTATGATAAACGTTTATACACATGAATACTACAAGTGGTACTAATGCTATATTATGTCACTGGTTGTTAAATAAAATAATGGTGAATGATTTTGTGGTAGTGACCATTTTAGTCATCCTTACCGGCTTGAACTTGAATTCTTCAGAAAGACGATGTTTTCTGACTTTATAACCAGGCGTTTCAATACTGTTGAAACAAATACTCAATATCTGTAGATTAAATAATTTGGAAATATAGAAGGAATAACCAATTTACTGAAGCATACCTGTACTGTGGCTGACTGGTACCTAGGTTCAGGTTTGAAGGAGCGCAAGGGCTCATTGGTATCTCTAAGGGTTCTTTCAAAGTTTTTTTTGGTTCTTTTCACACCAGTCAAACGGTTTGTTTTTGGTTTGTCTAGAAAACGAAAGATAACATGATTCTACAAATGAGCTTTATTACAAGGCCATAAAATAATGTTTGCGTTGTATTCATTTATAAGTGCACCATCACTGTACCTGTTTGCTCTTTCTTTGATGCAATCTGGTTGACTATGAATAATGTCAGCAGATCCATATTGTCAGGGTTGTATCCTTTGGATGAGTCCATATTATGTGACTTTCTTTTCATCCTTTGCTTTTGAAAAAAACACCTTGAGCTGGAACAGAGAATTACAAAAGCACAAGTTTCAGATAAAATAACACAAAAAAACTAAACCACCTGTAACCCCAGTCCGATCACTACCAATCATGCAACTAAATTCATTTAGCTAGCTGTAGTTATTTTTTGAATTTACAATAAAGTTATCGTTCAAATGTAGTATTAAGACTGTGTAGTTACTAAAAAGAGTGGAAAAAGTCTCAAACAGTTGCTTTGGAGAAAGTACTCACTCTCTGTTTTATTGTGTCTTCTTTGTTTTTCATATACTTGCTCCTGGTTAGTCAAGAGAATGCGCCATTATACATATATAAACGTAATTACTTTATATCAAGTATGTTCATTTTACAGTCAAGTAATGATATAAAGTCAGTTATTAGTGACTTTTATTTAAGTTAACGTTAGCAGGTTAGCACTAACCTAGATCCTCCGACCCTAAATCGCATAAACACATTTCATTACACCAAATACACAAAATAATGTTCTTTTTAGCAACATCATATGACCCCTTTAACATTTATAAAGAATATCTCTTTGGATTTGAGACTTTAGTCTTTGCAACTTTACAGATCTTCTTTATGCACCAAGAGCTTGTAACACTCCAAAGAGAAAGGAAAACTTGAAATCGCATCATATGACCCCTTTAAATTCTTTCTCTGCAGATAATCAGCGTAAACATTTTAACTTTTCAGGTTATTATGCTATTAGGTCAATGTTAATAGCAGCAGCTAATAAGATAAAGGTTATCATGAAGCGATAACTGTGAGCGTGGATCTTGAGAATTTAGCAGAAGTTGTGACGTCTCAACCCACATCAGCGATTCATTTCCCTTTTCTCTCTCTCTCTAATTTTAAGGACTGCCTTCAGAAATTGAATATATTTTATTAAATCACCATCAATGAACAATGTAGCTGGAACAGAAAAAGATGCAGCAAAGTGGTTAGCCCGTGTATGTTTCAGATTTTAGATCTAAATATTTTATTATAAATATTATTGACAAAACACATGATAAAAACTGATCATTACAATCATATAATGATGACAGTAATAAAAATAGTTTTTTACTTGAAAAACATTATTTATATATTTAAAAAAACAAAATAACTAATTTTTTTTTTTACATTTTTGACACTTTGGATCAGACCATTCTGTTACAATACGTCAAGTGCGGCAGCCAATCAGCGTGGAGTGGGGGCGTAACCAGCAAGGAAAACCCAAATGACGGAAACGTCTTACCTGGCAGGCAGTGCAGTTTCAACCTTACGGTACCATGAATTTTATGTATATATTCTCTGTTTAAGGCATTGAGTGACCCTATGGATGTGATTTGGAACAAACTGAAGATTGCATACTACTTATTTTCGTAAAAGCAGGATAAAAAAATGAGCAACATCCTCCATGCAGCATCAAAAGTGAGGTGGAATCATAGCACTGCGGCGAAAAGAGCGGTGTTCCTGGCGGCAGTCGCATACGGGGCGAAAACGCTTTACCCCATCATCTGCAAACAAATAAATCAACGGAAAACAACGAAGAACAGCACGTCTGCACCGGGACACAAGAATGGATTGATAACTCCTCATAAAGCTACACCAGAGACTGCCTCTAGCCTTAATAAATCACCCGGTGTCAATGCGGAATTCTTCAAGCAGATTCTTGATCTGGTTAAAATCGTGTTCCCGAGGTTTGTAACCAAAGAACTGGGTTTACTATGTTTACATTCAGTAGCTCTAGTTTCACGGACGTTTCTGTCTATTTATGTGGCAGGTTTGGATGGTAAAATAGTGAAAACGATCGTAGAGAAGCAGCCGCGGAGCTTCATGATCAAACTGATGAAATGGCTTCTGATCGCCATCCCGGCCACATTCGTCAACAGCGCGATCCGCTATCTGGAGTGCAAGCTCGCGCTCGCGTTCCGCACGCGTTTGGTAGATCATGCATATAAAACCTATTTCACCGATCAGACCTATTATAAGGTCAGCAACATGGACGGGAGGCTGGCGAACCCGGACCAGTCTCTAACCGAGGATGTGATGATGTTCTCGCAGTCCATTGCGCATCTGTACTCAAACCTCACCAAACCCATCCTGGACGTGATACTGACTTCATATACCTTAATACAGACTGCGAGATCTCGGGGTGCGAACGCAACCGGACCCACTCTCTTAGCGGGTCTGGTGGTGTTCGCCACGGCGAAGGTTCTGCGCGCCTGCTCGCCGAGGTTCGGTAAGCTGGTGGCGGAGGAGGCGCACAGGAAGGGCTATTTGCGTTATGTGCACTCCAGAATCATAGCCAATGCAGAGGAGATCGCTTTCTACAGGGGACATACGGTGAGGAAATGCATAATGCACACGGGCAGATATAACAATCAATATAACATTAATAAATGCTCTGTATGGTGGGGCATAAGGCGAGGAAATGCATCACTCATATGTAGTGTAAACGTAATTGCTTATTAAATTACAGAGGACTTTTATAATGGGCATAAGGTGTCACTGTACACGTGCATAGATATATACATAGGCCCACATTTAAAAATGTTCCATAACTAGCCATTTACTTTTTGAAGTCTCTCAATGGTTGGTATATTTAAACTGTTCTCATGTGGCAGGTGGAGATGAGGCAGCTGCAGAAGTGTTATAGTGCCCTGGCGGAGCAGATGAACCTCATTCTATCAAAACGTCTGTGGTACATCATGATTGAACAGTTCCTCATGAAGTACGTCTGGAGTGGCAGTGGTCTGGTTATGGTGGCAGTGCCCATTATCACTGCCACTGGCTTTGCTGACAACGGTACGGTGGAAGTGTAGTTTGTTTAAAGGGGTCCTATTATGCTCTTTTACAAAGTCTTGATTTTGTTTTGGGGGTGTACTAGAACATGCTCTCATGCTTGGTGGTTCGAAAAATGCATTATTTTCACATAATTTACATTATTAAAATACCTTTCTCCCCATCCTGGCACAAATGGCTCGATTAGTTCCGGCTTTGATGAAGGTCCGCCTTCCGAAAAACAAAATGTGTTGTGATTGGCGAACAGCTTTGACGGTGTTTCAGTACTGCCACGCCCCTTGCTCCGTCTTTCAACAAAAGCTTTTTGGCGAATCCGGCAGGCACTGTACTCCCTCATGTTGTGCTGTCCTCAGTAAAATGCGCAGCACACAATAGCAAATTGGGGTTATAATGATCAGGAACAGAGTTAAAAAATAAATTGCAACCACTGTTTCCTGACATCATCCGCTTTCGGAAACCCAAACAAAGACGTTTGGGCACGGAGGTGAAAAAAACAGCGTTTCAGGCGGTCGCACACCGGACGAGAAGCGCACCGTCGCGTCGCGCCACGTTTTTAAAATTCGAATACATTATTTTCTATGAGTGTAGGCACACCGGCGACGCC